CATCTTTTTTGCCACTTTTAGGTTATACGAAAATGTAAGTTTTATTTCAACATTTTTTTTCTCAATATTTTTCCAATCCAACCCAACTATTATTATACATCATTTTAAAGAGAAAGCTTTGAGCTTTAATTTAGAATAAGTCTCATTCCTTAATTTCAATAAATACGGCTTCTAGGAATTTTTAAATTAGTATCTTTTTTGATACTTAGGTTATGCGAAAATGTTAGTTTTTGCTCATTATGTTTTTTCTCAATATTCTATCAGATTTTGCTAATTTCTGATAAATAAATATTCAAATTTACTGCGTCCACGAAAATGTTGTAGCGTAAGTTCAAAAGAAAGAGGAAGTTGCGAAAATTGTTCTGCCAAAGCTAGACTCCACTCAAAATGTACTTTGTGCAATGTTTATTTATGTTGTAATGAAAGAAAGAACTGTTTTTGTATACTGAAAATATATTTTAATGCTTGACGGTACTCTCAAGTACCATTATTCCCCTGGAATGGGGGGATTGCATATTTTGCTAAAATTGATTCCAAAGGCCTCTACTGAATGTATTTTGATAGCGTTTCAATTCTGCCACAAAGTTTCAAAATTTTTGACTTCTTCGGACACAAAGGGTTAATATATTGCTCACCAGTTTTAATTTCAAAACGTAGATATTAGCCAAGTGACGAGAGATTAGTGGCTTCGTCTTTAAAGTGACAGTCAGTGACAACTTCGTTTAGAATATACACAACCTTACTTATTATTTAGTGGAAAATATTATAAAGCGTGGTCATAGAACATGGTATCTAGGGTGGTACAGACCGTTTTCTTATAAAAATTTGGCAATGACAATTGATTTAAATAAAAAACAAATTATATATGTAATTATATCAACATAAACTATGAATTGTAACGCCTCGCCCGCAAGCGACCTCAGATGTAAGATTTCTCATTCAAGTATTGTACGCTTGGTTCACTTTCCAAGATTAGCCGAAAAATGTTACAATGTAAGGCTGTCCAAATTTCTTTATTAGAATTAAATTGGCGTGGCAGCCCTGATCAGCCAAAAAATTTGACGTAAAGCTGTCAAAAGTAAGATTTAAAATAAAACTACTTTCGATATGCGAATATATGGTTTCTTAATAAAAACACTCCTAAATTTGTGTTTATTTTTTTGTAGGAAATCTAATATTTTTCCTCCTAGATTTAGCATCTACAACAATTTGCGCTTGCCTCTTCATATAGCCCCGCGATGGGACTTCCTCTTCTTCGTCAGATCCGGGAGGTGGAGCTGGAGATCCTGCGCCACTTTGCGGTAGTGGGGTTCTTCTCATTAAACTCGAATAAGTTTGAGGTAACCACTTTTCAGGAATGACATTTTCAGGTTCTTTCTGTTAACATAAAATAATCAACTTCAAATTAATCACCCAACCCGATCTTTACTGTTTACCTCATCTTCTTCATATCCCCTTTTATTTACGATAATTTCAAGTTCATTTTTGAGCTGTTTAACTAAATCTAACGGATTATTTTTTCCCGTTATTTCCGGCGCCACGTTTATAAAAATCGATTGAATGTTGTCGAAAATGTTTTCTAAAATTCTATTCGATTCATGTTGGGATTGCTTGTAAGTTTCGATTTTTCTTTTTTGTTGTTCGTTTTGTTTTTGGATCATTTCTAATTCTTCGGCGTTTCTATAAAAGTAATATTTAGGTTATAAATTTTCTTTTTTATTACTTACTCTTCGGCATCTTTAACTTCAGCGAATTGTAATGATTCTAATTGGGCGTTTAAATTATCTTGTTTAACCTCCAATTTTCGCTTATTTTCCTCTCCGGATTTTCGCAGGGAATTTAATCGTATTGAGGTGTCCTTTTGTGCCAAAAATCGCTCTAAAACATCATCGATGGTCGTTCCTCCAGTTGCCTCTTTTAATGTTTCAAAATCGTCTCTAAATTCTTCTAAGGGATCAAGAATTGGAGGAGTGGGGGTTTGCATAAAATTGGAATCTTCACCATCGGTTTCTGGGCGAAGAGTTTGCATTTTCCCACTTTGAAAAATTTTCTTTTCTAATTTTTCTAATTCTTGTTTTCGTTCCATTATTAAACGTTTACCATCAACAGCTTGTTTTTCTCGTTCTTTTGCCGCTTTTAGCGCGTCCTTTTCTTCTTTTTGTAAATTATTTCGTGCAATAGCTCGCATTTTGTTTGCTTGTGCGTTTACTTCTTCTAAACGATTGATTTCGATTTGTTGCAATTGTAATTGCTGTTTCGTTTTGGCGATATTCGCCTCGAATTTAGCCGAATCTTGAAGAAGCGATTTTCTAATTTCTTTGTAACGCGTCCTAACGTGTTCCGCTTCCCTCCATTGTACTTGCACAGCGTGGATACTGTTTTCAAGTTCTTTCTTTTGCTTCTTAATCGGGGCTTCTAATTTGATTTTTGTGTAATTTTCAAATTTTTTTAACTTTAACGATTGGTATTCGTCGGCGAGTTTTTTTAAAATCTCTTCTTTCTATGGAACTATCGAAATTAAAAACGATTTTAAGCTTAATAATAAGTTTTACCTTTCTAATCTGGTATCTGATCAAGTCCAGGTGCTTGGTCCTGTCGGTGACTTGCAAATCGAGGGAGCAGTGAACTTCCGGGCACGTCTTCTCGCCCAAATGGCCCATAACCTCCTCCAACCGAGCCCCTCCTATTCGATTTTTCGCCGATAAACTCCGATTATCTCGCAATCGAATCGCCAAATCTCTCGTTTCCTTCTTCAGTCGTAAAATTTCGTTCGCGTTCAATTTCTCCTCCGATTCGGTTTCTTCGAAAAGCGCTTTTCGTCTACCTTCTATTTAAAAATAAATAATTTCAACATAAATATGTTTCAAAAACCAATATTCGTTACCGGATAATTGTATCTTTCTTTTAATTTCGAGTATTTGTCTATTTATCGCTGGTAATTTTCCGGATTGCGGAGGTTCTTGCTTCGTAGCCATGATCTCGGCGGGCTATTAATACCGTTAAACGAGCTTGCAATTGGCTGCCACACCTTTTCACGTAATGTTAATGGAGAGAATTCGAATTTTCATAAAACATAGTATGTTGTATTGACTAAACTTGTTGTTTATTTCCACGGTAACCGTTACTAGGATTTCTCTAAAACGTTTTTCTAAGTTTTGTCACAAGGTAGGGTTTTAAATAATATGCTTCATTATCTAAAAGGATGATTATTGTTAGTTCCTGTTACTATGTGAAATTATGCCACATCGTTCTCTTTGCCATAAGCACCTACGTCAATTGCTAAGCATTTGAAGTGTGCGCCAGCTGCACTTTGCAAGACAATAAAAAAAGAAATTCTTATAGTTTCGGTACATACTTCCTGAATGTTTTCAATTCAATTCGAGATGCTGACGTCGTTTGGCAAACTTTGTTATAAGTGTTTAATATATGCAAGATAGGCGAATTAGTATACGCATTAGACGCTGAGGCAAAATACCATAAGTGCGATATTGCGGGATATTGAAATTAATTAAAGGTAAAAGTTTAGGGACATCAATAAGCCCGGTAACAAGTATGTACAGGGTGTCCCAATTTCGATGTCCGCATAGGCTATCTCCGAAACTAAAAGAGATAGAAAAAAATTAGCTTATATGTCATGATCTCGTTTTTCGAGAAAATGCTAATGCCGAAAACTCCGAATAGCTATCCTCTTTTGTTTTCGCCCTATCGGCAAAAACTGAAAATTTTGCAAAAACGACAATCGCGAATATCTCACTTATTATCAAAGATGGAGTATTATAAATAAAACATTATATAGGCAACTTTTTACGAAGAATTCAGTGGCGTATGTAGAATTTTTTTCCTATCTTTTATTTTCGAGATTTTAGACGTAACTTTATTTTTTTAAATGGAAACCATAGTTGGCTATAACCTAAAATTTAATTTAATTTAATTTAATTTGCCCAAAAAGAAATATACATATAAAGTATATACATATCATATGCCGTATATACAGGGTGTCACACAAAAAACGCCCCAAGCTGTAACTCTGTCATTTATATTCCGATTTTCATGAAAGAGGCATCAAATGAAATGGTTTGATGAATACTATGATTCATGCTACAAATAAATTTTTTTCAAGGCCATCTTCAATTTTAAGCGATTATTAACTTTTGTTTCTCAAATTGCTCCATATATTTTTCTTCACGTCATTAGATAGAGATTGTTTTTCTGAATCCATTGATGTACAATACATCCATTTTGAATGTAATTTTAGCACAAAAAAGACACCTGTATATACAGGTTGTAGCACAAGAACGCCGCAAGTTATAACTCTGTCATTTACCTTCCGATTTTTATGAACGAGACATCAAATGAAATGATTTGATGAATCTTATGATTCATGCTACAAATAAACTTTTTCCAACGCCATCTTCAAATTCAACCGATTATCAACTTTTGATTTTCAAATTGCTCGGTATGTTTTTCTTCACGTTATGGGATAGAGATTTTTTTTTTGAACTCATTGATGTAGAATACATTAACATTAATTGTAATTTTAGCAGAGAAAAACAATTAAAACATTTTCCGAATATTGTCTTAATCACTTCTATAATACTGCAGTGTGCCATGGAAAAAAATAACACGCAAAACTGATAACAGTCATTAAATGCTATTTAAATGCTCGAAGCAGTTGTAAATGATACTTATAAGTTTGTTTTTTTATTTATCCCATGGCACACTACAGTATAACACAAGTGACTTTAAGGAAAACTATTTTAATGTTTTTCTATGCTACAATTACAATTAATGTTGATGTATTGTACATTAATGGGTTCAGAAAAAGAATCTATATACAATAGCATGAAGAAAAATATACCGAGCAATTTGAAAATCAAAAGTTGATAATCGCTAGAAATTGAAGATGGCGTTGAAAAAAGTTTATTTGTAGCATGAATGATAGTATTCATGAAACCTTTTCATTTGATACCTCGCTCATGAAAATCGGAAGGTAAATGACAGAGTTACAGCTTGCGGCACTCTTATGTGACAACCTGTATATACAGGATGTCTTTTCTCTGCTAAAATTACATTTAAAATAGATGAATTGTACATCAATGGATTCAGGAAAAAATCTCTATCCAATGACGTGAAGAAAAATATACGCAGCAATTTGAAAAACAAAAGTTAATAATCGCTTGAAATTGAAGATGGCGTAGGAAAAAATTTATTTGTAGCATGAATTACAGTATTTATAAAACCATTTCATTTGATACCTGTGTCATGAAATTCGGAATGTAAATAACAGAGCTACAGCTTGGGGCGTTTTTTGTGTGACACCCTGTATATAGGGTACAGCATAGCTGATTACTAGAAAACTGGAAAACTAGAAAACTAAAAATAAATACATATATATCAAAGTAATAACCAACAAAATAAAAATAATAATAATAATAATTAAACTTAACATTTTGATTCTTGTTCCTCAAGAAGCCTGCGCTTCAAGGTGCATTTAAAAGATCTATTAGATTTCAACTGAAAAACATCTGAAAAGCAATTATAAATTGTAGGTGCTCTGTACGCAAAGCTACCACAAAATTTAGCAGATTTATGTTTGGGAATCGTCAACAACTTCGTTTGTCTTAGATTAACATTATGTATTTGCGATCTTGGTACTAAGATACAATATAAATAATAAGGCAATTTGTAAAATATTACATTGTATAACATAACAGCTAGCAAGAGTGTACATCTAGGTTCCATTTTTAAGATAGAATATCTTATGTAATAGGGGGTAACATGTTCTCTACGATCAATCGAGTATGAAAACCTAAGTCCGCTGTTCTGAAGTATTTGAATACGATTTTTTAAAGTAGCTGATAGAAAATTGTAGTAAACGTTACTACAGTAATCAAGTTGACTTAGAATTAAGGAGTTAACAAGTCTCCATTTCAATTGTGGTGACAACAATGACTTAAATTTATATAACGATTTTAACTTATAGTAGCACACACCAATTTTCTTATTTACATGTTCCGCAAAATTAAGATTACTGTCGACAGTAAGACCTAAGTTGTTGGTCGATTCAGAGAACGCTAAGACAGTTCCATTGAGGTGTATAGGAACCGATAAATTATCGATTGCTCTTCTGCGAATGTTGGCCGACCCGACACACATACATATAGTTTTTTTCGCGTTAAGAATTAACCCGTTAACAGAACACCACTCACAAATATTCTTTAAATCAGAGTTAAGCAAGCGCACCGTGTCATCAACACTGATAATATCACAAGAGATGTAAATCTGCGCATCATCCGCGTATTGATGAACCGAACAGCTCGTCACTACATTNGAACAAACAGCAGATTATTTAATTTTTCTAAATATCATCTACAAAATTCTAATCTTCGATTGACATCTCCGGCACGTAAATAATGAGTTAGCCCCGCTTTGTATGGTTTATACTTATTTTTCTTTCATATTCGGGAGCAGCGGCTTTTGGGTCAGACGTCTTGTTGCAATTTCTCTTTCAGGTCATTTTGATATGTTTTTGTATGTGGTTTGGGGAAGGACCACATATCTATTAAATTTTCTGCTAACCTTTCTGGATATCTTGTGAAATAAAATTCCGCGACTAACGTCGCATTCTTATCTGATAACATATAGCATTCCATGTTACATTTTTCATAATTTTCGAAATTCATTGTAAAGTTTTATTCAGTTTTGTTATACTTTGACACTTAACATGCTGGTGAATCGTACCAGCACATAAAGCCAGAGTTGTTATCGGATTTTTAAATACAAACTTTGGCAATTATTTGATACATTATGTTCCATCATAGTATGTATGGTTATCACCATAGTAACATAAACTTTTAAATACATACATTAGTTTTAGACAGAACAAAATGAATTTTTGTTAATTATTCAATAACCATAAGAAATATACCCCACAAACTATACAGGTGTCCCGTATCTTCCGCATCAGAGCATTATACGGTTGTAGGATACATTATTCTGATGCGATCTTTCTAATAAAATTTTTTCGAAATGTTTATAATAACCGCACGGGGACTGTTTAAAGTTATCCGCTTTTGTCCAATAGCGGACGAGTTTGATTCACCGAAAAAGTTTATTTCTCTTCGCGTGACGAATCCATTGGTGAGTACACGTAGGAAACGAGTTATCATCGGCGTAGCGGACCAGCCGAGGGTGGCACCGATTACCTGAGTCTGATTGCGATCTGCTGATTGGACGAAAAACAGTTCGTTTAAACAGTTCCCGTGCGGTTATTATAAACATTTCGAAAAAATTTTATTAGAAAGATCGCTTCAGAATAATGTATCCTACAACCGTATAATGCTCTGATGCGGAAGATATGGGACACCCTGTATATATTTGTTATTAGAAGAAAATAACAAATTATTTTAAGTCATAGCCAACTATGGTTTCCATTTAAAAAAATAAAGTTACGTCTAAAATCTCAAAAATAAAAGATGGGAAAAAAATTCTACCTACGCCACTGAATTCTTCGTAAAAAGTTACCCATATAATATTTTATTTATAATACTCCATCTTTGATAATAAGTGAGATATTCGCGATTGTCGTTTTTGCAACATTTTCAGTTTTTGCGGATAGGGCGAAAACAAAAGACGATAGTTGTTCGGAGTTTTCGGCATTAGCATTTTCTCGAAAAACGAGATCATGACATGTAAGCTACTTTTTTTCTATCTCTTTTAGTTTCGGAGATAGCCTATGCGGACATCGAAATTGGGACACCCTGTACAATAGACACATGTCCCTCACAAACCTACGGTGGACAGAGAAGCCAAACCAAACCCCACACAAGCGACCGAGTACTTACAATAAGGTAAATGAAATTTGCTAGCAAGACACCTAACAAATCGAAGCTGGACCAACTCTAAACGGTCAATGTATATGTGATACATTGGATTCCAAATCACCGAGCAGAAAGAAAGAATACTATTAACATAATTATGCCATATAAGCAGATTTTATGCAATTTTTATGCATTGTAAAAGCCCATTACAAATATGGGGAAAGTCATGCTAAAACCGCTCGAAAACATCGCGGAATTTTAGGCCGTGCAAGTACACCAAATGTGTCAACGATTCGAAGAGTGATCGATCAATAGATTTGAAGAAGCTGGGTCGATTATGGACAGTAAGTGTCCTGTGCGTCGACGTACCGGCCGATCTCGCGAAAACATCGCTGCTGTAAACGAGAAGCACCACGCAGCGAATTCTTACGAAGAACCTCCATCTTCATCCCTACAAGGTTCAGCTTACCCAGGAGCTCAAACCGACAGACCACGCATCAATTTGTTCAATGGTTGATCGAGCAAAATTAAGTGAATGCTGATTTTTCGAAAAAAGTCATCTTCACCGTTGAGACGCACTTTAAATTAAACTAATTCGTTAACAAACAATATTTGGGTCTCAGAATATCCGCACGTCAGGATACAAAGAAATAAATGCACTCCTAACAAGTCATTGCTTGAAGCGGATTTTGGGCAGGCGGCGTGATTGGCCCGTATTTTTTTGAAAATGAGACTGGCAACGCTGTAACCGTCAACAGTTTGCGGTATCGCAACATGATAACGGAGTTCTTGTGGTCTCATCTGGACGGTATGGATCTGGAAGACATACGCGCGAATCCATCTATTTATTGAAGGAACGCTGTCCGGGCCGAATCATCGTGCGATTTGACGCCGTGTGACTTCTTCCGCTGGGTTTTGTAAAATCTCACATCTATGCCAATGCGCCATGAACTATTCCCGAGTTCAAGGACGAGATCCAACGCGTCACTTGTAAGTTAAATAATAATAATAACTTTATTATCCCAACAGAAATTTGTTTTCCAAAAAGAGAGATAATATTATAAACAACATAATTAAGCCTAAGAACGTACATTAGTTGACATAATAAGAAGTAAATATATACAAACAAAAAGAAAAAGAAAGAAAACATATTCAATGAAAAATGAAAAATCAAATAACAACAATTTAACAAACTGCTAAGTTAAACATCCAAGAATGATACACATTTAGTCCAATATTTGTGTCACCACGATTGGTAGTAAAAACATTAAAGTCACGAGCACCAAACCTCGGAACTTTTATATTCAATTGCGACAAAACACCCGATGCAACCACCACACCCGACATCACATCCCGAACAAATCTTGCTGACATACACTTCCTTCTGTCTTCAAGGCTCTGGAGTCCATAACGATGTGAGAGATATGGATAGTTCAATTCCCCTCGAGGCGGATAATGACCAAAGTCCAGGAAATGCATGAATCTAACAAATTTACGTTGTACCCTCTCGATGGTGGAGATGTACTTTAAATAAGATGGTGACCAAACAATACAGCAATATTCAAGTTTGCTTCTTACGAGTGTAAAGTAGAGTTTTATTATTGTGTTTATATGAGCAAATTCCAAACTATTTCTCGTTATAAATCTAAGTGTTCTGAGGGCGTTCGTCGACGTCTTGTCAACATGTACATTGAAAGACAAACCAGTGTCGAACCATACACCGAGATCCCTCACCACAGAAATGCGCGATAGGCAGTCAGTCCCAAGTTCATAATCAAAATTGATGGTGTTACGTTTCTGGCTATATGTCATTAACTGACATTTGGAAGTATTCAGAATCAATCTATTAGTAGTACACCACGAATAGAGTTTATTTAAGTCCAACTGAAGTGAAATGCAATCCTGTTCACTACCAATAGTAGTAACCAACTTCAGATCATCTGCGTACAATAGGGCATTGGTGCTAAAGCTCATTGGTAAGTCATTCACAAAAATATTGAACAGTAGAGGGCCAAGTATGGATTCTTGAGGTACGCCACTAGTAACGCTTATTTTTCTCGATTTAATACCAGCCAACTCGACGTATTGTCTTCGATTTGACACATACGATGACAGAAGCCGTATAAGAGAACAATCACACCCAAACTTCTCCAATTTTTCCGTCAACAAGAAGAGGTCTAAACAATCGAAGGCCCGTAAGAAATCCGTGTATATAACATCCACCTGTCCACGGCGATCTAGTGCCCTAGATACGTATTCGGTAAAACTCAACAGGTTAAAGCCGCAACTCTGCAGGAACGTCATTGAAAATTTCATGAAAAGAGGACGGGAGGCATTAGCCGGATATTTTATTCCATAATTAATCGGAACATGTCTGCTTTATAATGCAGTAAAAATATCACCACTCGTTCAAAAACTATGCGTTTTATTGTTAAATTAAATCGGACATTCTTATTGAGACACCTTTAGTTTTTAGAATAAACTGTTTGATAGCTTTCGGAAAGACATACTCAATGTGATCTGAGAATAATAGTTTCGAATCTAGAATCTCACTAAGATCTTTGATAGAAGTGACATATTTAATCAATGTTATATCTTTTACTTCTAAAAGAAATTTTAGACCATTTTTCGTAATTTAGAAACAGTTTATTTTTACAACAATAAGTGTTAAAACGATAGAGATCGGTTTGCAATTTAATACAGTCAGCAACTGTACGTATAGAAGAAAAAATCTTACAATCATCCGCATACAATAAGAAACTCGTATGAATAAAACAAAAACCAATGTTTTTTTGGCACGCATAGTGTACTATTAATGGCATTGGCTGACGCGGACTACAAATTTCAATACATTAATGTTGGAACTTATGGACGAATTTCTGATAGGGGCGTTTTTATTGGATACCACTTGTCAAGGAAGCTTGCAACCTAGGCTACTACCAGGGTGAACTAAGCCAGTTCCCTTTGTTATCGTAGCTGATGACGCTTTTTTTCATGAAACCATATGCATTTAGAAATCTGCATGGTGAACAAAGAATATTCAACTACCAGCTATATGTATTATACGAGCACGCAGAATAATTAAGAATGCTTTTGAACTAAGAAGATCAATTGAATTAGAACCTGAAAAAGTGATCGGTATTGTATCTGCCATATGTGTGTTGCATAATTTTTTAATGACGCGGTTTAAATCACTATACGCTCCTTATGGCAGTTTCGATGTGGAAGATCACGAAAATAGCCCAATACAACCAGGCCAGTGACCAGACACTCAGGGACTATTGAATCACAAGTTAATCTTAACCTTTGCGGAAATTTGGAACCCAAAGATGTACAACCAAGATGGAAATACAAATATACAGGGTGATTCGGGAGGAAATGGAAAGATTTTAAGGACATGTCTAGGAAGCTAAAATAAGCCGGTATGTTCAAATCCGATTTTCATTTGTTTGAGATATTTTGAACAATAATAATTTCAAAATTAAAGCTAAAGTTATTACTAAACTAACAAACCAAAAAAACAAGTAGCATTAATTCACATTAAATTTTCGAAAACTCCACCACCCACTTCGATACTCTTATTTGCGCGTTTATAAATGGACCTGGTAGCCAGTTTCAGTGAACGATGATTCGCTCTAATGAACGCCGCAGCATTAAGAATACGATCTAGTAGCGTATCCCTTGTGTCCACTTTCCTAGCATAAACTAAGGACTTCATCCATCCCCAAAGACAAAAATCTAGGGGAGTGAGGTCCGGTGATCTCGGTGGCCAAGGGTGCGGGCCTCCTCTGCTAATTTGGCGATTTCCGAAATGCGTATTTAGAAAATTCCTCACATTATTTGAATAATGGTCTTCCAACATGATGGAGCACCCCCTGCTCCATCATGTTGGAAGATCATACGTTCTCGAATATTCAAAGGTACATCGTCCAATATTTCCTCTAAATGGTCTTCCAAAAAATGTAAATAACCTTCCCCAGTAAGACGGCCATCCAACACAAAAGGACCAAACAACTGATCATTTAGAATGCCGCACCATACATTAATACTAAACCGATGTTGGAAATTGTGTTCTTGCGTGGCATGGGATTTTCGTCCGACCATCGATGATTATTATGGTAATTGTGAATTCCATCTCGAGTAAATTGAGCTTCATCAGAAAATAATATGCATTTAAGTAATCTTCTGTTTTCACGAATCCATTGACAAAATTGTAGTCTTAATGGATAATCGCCTTCTTGGAGATTTTGTACTTTCTGCAAATGAAAAGCGTTTAAGCCTTGCCGCTTTAATGTTTTCCAAACCATTGTTTGTGGAATTTCATATTGTATTGCCATGCGCCTTGTACTTATCCCTGGATTATTTTCTACAACATCCAGAATATTTTCTTCATGTTTCAAACTGAGCCCTTGCTGTTTTTCAGAAACAATGCTTGCGCTTGGGAACATTCCACTTTCGCTAGCACGTGTAAAAACAGTTTGAAACACTTGCCTATTAGGAATTCTTCGATTCGGAAAACGACGTCGATACTGTTCTACTGAACGAACAGTATTACCATTACAAAAACCATAAACAAACACCATATCTGCATATTCTCTATGACTGAAAATGTGAGGCATTTTTATTATTTCGTAACAATTACAACTATCACTTTAATTAACATTTTGTTTCAAATTGTCATATAGGATAACGTTGTCAAACATAACTTGATTAACTTTTTAAAAAGAAAAACCTAATTATCTCGGAAACAAATGAAAATCGGATTTGAACATATGGGCTTATTTTAGCTTCCTAGACATGTCCTTAAAATCTTTCCATTTCCTCCCGAATCACCCTGTATATAAAAAATGTACGATTAAACTTACCAATGAATCCATTGTTGTTTCATTACCACATGTTGGTTCATTTTTGAATTTTAAAATTCCCATTTGACTTCAAAATTTTCTCCTGCTGCCTGGCCGCGTTTAGTGTGTTTTCATTTCTTCACTTCTTGAATCAGAACTGCCAATTTATTGGAAATTTCATCCATAGATGATTTCCAAAGCTATTTATTTTTATAATTTTTGGACGAGCAGTCATTCGAGCAGTTCATATCGTTTGATTAACTGCAGTATCATGTTATCCAGTTAACAGTATCATTATTTAACTTTAAATTTCAGCATCATGAAAGTTCGTCACATAACCTAGAATCGACATCTCCAAATTTTCTCAACGAATTTTCCAAACAACTGAGATTAAAATTTAATATGAATCAAAATATGATGAAATGTATGTATTTTGTTTTGAGAGAATGCGAAATCCCCACATAAAGAGACAGACCGCGCCCCTTAGTCCCAAATTCCCAAAATCATCACAACAAAAATTTTTTCGCTTTTTTGTTCGTCACATTTCCTTTCATTTTCTTTAAAATTTTCTTCTCGTCCAAAATGTAGAAAAAGAATTGTGTCATTTCTTTTCTTTCTGGTTACTATGGTAACGATAATCGCAGCGTGTATAGTGTATTTAAAATTTTGCGGTTGGCATTAAAACCATCGGAGGGTACTTGAACACATTCTTTAATCATAAAAGCAAGTAGTACCGATTATTTTAACATCAAAACTCGATCAAATTGAAATAAAACGGTTTAATCTTTAAAATTGGTTCTTACTATGAAACCGATTTATTTCGGTTTTGTATCAAAAATCATTTGGAACCAAAAATGTTTGTAAATAAATTGTGGTTTAGCCACGTTCGGCGTAGGAATACAAGAACCACCTAGCGGCCATCTTGGAGCGTCCCAAACAAAGCTGCTGCTGGTAGTACTGCTTCAGATGAGGTTTGAACGCGATCGTGAGCGTGTCGTTTAAACGTTGGCGGTTTTTTTGCGATTATTATTTATTTTATTTTTTTTAATTAACCTTTTTCGTTGTTGATTTTTCGAGTTCTTTCCGTTATTGAGTTTAATTAATAATAGTGCGCGGTTTTCTATAACCGTGGTGTACGTGATTATCTTTTTGGTGTCTCAGAAATTGAAGGAAATAATAACACATAGTGGATTAACGGTCTCTTTTTATAAATGTGGTGTGCGACCAGAAATCGGTGATATGTGTGTTCCCTTTACCAGGGAGGTTGTTGTATCAGAATGTGGATTAACGATTACTACTGCTACGGTAGAAAGGATTACTGCTATTACTACCGCCTTTGGATTATTGCGGCTTTACTACTTTTAACCGTCGTTCAACAAGCAACAGGTTGGTTTGGTTTAAGACTACTACTTCAAACATATTTTTTAAATAGTAACAAGAATATGATGTTGTTTTTGTTTTTAAGACTGCATATTTAAAAATTGTTTCTTTTTTATTTTTAAATGTTATTTCAACGCCATCTGTTATTCTTGATAACCCTAAATTATGATATGGGGTGAATTTTTCTGAAAATTTTGTGGTAATATTGTTTGATTAAGCTAAAAATTAATATTTTAATAGATTTTAGGATAATATTTGATGCTTATTTCGAAAAGTGGTTAGAATTACTAAAATAGTTAGCCTTTGTAATCAAGATATTTTAAAAATTGATAGCAAAAAGGCTGCGGAATACTTCACAAAGAATACCAAAAGGAATAATTTCGTCACAACCTTAATGTTAGATGAAGATTTTGGCTTGCATAGATTGATGAACTCCAAAAATCATGATTTTTTGCCTAACAAATGGTGTTGGTAGTAAATATTTGTGTGTAACGTAAAAATGAATTCGTAATAAAGTAATAGTAATTTATGTTGTATTTAATATTATCATGTAAGTTGTAATACTGGACACTTAATAATAATGTGTGCCATCTTCAACATTAAAGATGGCGTCTCTTAGCGATTAGTTCTAGGACCTCTTCTTTACATAGAACTCTTTCTTGTCGATTGGTTTGCAATTTATTTGCCGCATCTTTGATCTCAAGGTATGCATTTTCCCCCTTTATCTTTTTACGCTTTGCGGTAGTCAAAAAGGTTGTCTTCAATTCTTCAACGTTACTTCTCTTCTGTTTGGCCACTATTTCTGTATCAGCTAATACTTCCGTATGTTTGGCTAATACGCCAAAAAATTAATTCGATGGAAAATCATAGTAACTTATAAATATCAAAATACCAACAAACGATTTAGAATTATCCGCGGAAATTGTTATATCCGGATTGTGTTTTACAGCGGAAGAACAAAGAATGAACTTTGTTGCAATGTGATTTAAAGCTTCATCAGACGTCAGTTTCTAAGTTCCTTTAATAAGCAAAAAAATACATCAACAGGTAATTTATTTTTCTACTTCTGTTGCTTCTAAAATGTAATTATCTGCCATGGTTTGTTTTATGTTCAATAATTATATTAAATAACTTTATTAACTTAATACCTTGTAGTGTTGAAAGAATCCAAAAAACTGGATTACATCTATGAATTAACATAAAAGTACATAAAAAATACATGAATTGCAAAGGTATACCTAAATACATCTATAACTACCAGCATAATAAGAGTTGTCACATGGTGACTAGACTATTTTTTATTGTCAAGTCTGAACGTACAAAACGTCATGCCAGGACAAAGCTATCTCTCGGGCAAGATGCTATAACATCTCGCTATTCATCCCATATGCAACAGTAAAGAAATGAAAAGGACAAGACGATTTAATGGAAACTAATCAAGGAAGAAAAAGGGAAGCAAAGAAAGGAGGAAGAAAAGGTGATTGTATTCGAAAATGAAGTATGGTAAAACTACATCACCCAACTGAATAAGCAAGACAATCTGGAAAAGAAATGTTGGCTTGAAAAAATATCTAAATTTATGTTGAAAACGGAATGTTCTATGTTACAAATTCAGGTTGTGAATGTTACGATTACATCTTATTATATTAGATCTTATTACCTGAGATGTCAAATGCCAGTTATCTCGCCATCTTTTTGGGGGTGGATTTTCTCAGGTTGTCTTGAGCCGATTTTCGGAAGTTTGTTGTTGTTCATACATCCTTCGTGGTTATTCCATTGCCTCTTCCGCTGTCTTCCCCAACTCACTATGTCGAGAACGTTGCATTAATCTCTAATATTTGACATTCTCACTCTGTTCGTTCTTATTTTTCTCATGATTGATCTCAATGTCTTCATCTCGGTCACTCGTAACATGCCAGTTCTATTGCCAGTATTCTTTCAGCTAAACTTTTGTATTACCAGCGTCTCTCCACTATTCTCCTTCTTTATCTAGTTCTATTTTTGGTGCTACACTCTCTTCCTAGTATACTTCTTTATTGGTCAATCTCATTTTTGCCTTCCTAGTCTCTTTCCGATGTATTTCCAGTATGTATGGTACCTGTCTTTTCCTTCTATTTACAGTTTCTTTTCAGTAGCATGAATCGTTCAATTGCCTGCTATCAGAATTTTTCATTCAAGGAACTGAAAAACAGCTTGTTAATCCCCACATCCCTGAAAAAGGGTTGTTTTGGCTCTAATGAGTAATTCAATATTATAATCAAGTTCAAAAAACAGCGTAAATCTTGAAACGAGAATTCTGAATATCTTCCAGTTTGAAATTCAAGTAAAGTTTCCTTAAAAATTACTTTTCAATTTATATTCAACATAAGCGCAACTTCAATTTAAATTGGTATTTCATGTAAATTCCTCGAAGCAACATTCAGTACGTAGAGAACTCCCGTAAATATCTCGTTGGAATATTAACGACTCGAATTGAATTTTCAAATTGATGGAAATTTTTAAATTAAATTCATTTTTTCTATCGAACTTATCGTAATCATCCGTACATAAACTATTTTTTTATTACTAAAAAATATTTCCTATAACAATTATTCTTTATGACTTCATAACATCGTATAACAAGACTCGTAAAAAGTTATTATGAACTCGACCGTTTTTATAGTTATTTTACCGGTTCTCGAATAGTTTCCTGTTTTCATGTTTTTCTTGGAAAGATTTTCTGGAACTCTCGACCTCCATTAACAATAAAATATTTTATTTCTCCATCTACTAAGAATATTTGTACAATAACCTCTTTTTTTTTGTTGAACCTGAATAAACATTAGATAAAATTGCGATAAAAGTGTATCTGCAACTTGTATAAACATGCCCGGTTTCCTTTATTTGGTTGTTTTGGTTAAAAATTTTTTGTTGTAATCTAGACGAAGAGATGAACGAACGACTTTCGTTTCTTAGTTCTCTTGGGAACTCTTCTTTCCGCGCTAATTATTCAGTTATGGTTGCGTTATAAATTGCCTTAGGGTTATTGTTAGTGGAGCTCATTTACGCGATGTTTGCGTGCGAACTAATCTTTACATCTCTCTTTTTCTTTTTGTTACTCCACCCAACATCTTTTTTGCTTTTCAAATTTTTTTCAAAGAGAAAATATTAAAAACACTCAAATCAAATTATCTTTAGACTAGATAAATTTATTAAGAAATTTCTTTTTGTTTCATTCTTTTTATGACATAAATATATAAAAATAGCTTAGTTTTTAAAAATTCGTTGGTGAATGTCGGTTAAATCGTCGTGGAAATCGAACATGTGTGCGTACTCGTTGTTGAGGCACACAGCTGCCGCTAGTGACGTCATCATTGTCCCCCTCTCATCTTTTTTAGGCCCCCCACGTGTTTCTTTCTCGTTCGATCATCTCTCTCTCTTTTTCACTCTTTGTTTTTTTTTAGTCTTAGTACGGCGTTTTTGTAACGGTTACGACAGGTGGTCGTCTCTTTTTCCAATTCAAAAAATAAATCGAATCAACTTTGTGCAAAAAAATAGAGTTTAATATTTAGGATATTGAAAATTAAAGGATTAACTGGTAGGTATTTTTGCAGTGTTTCAGTTTGAAGAACTACCTATGTGATTTTTTTCTATGGGATGTTTCTCCTGAAGATGATGATAGTAGAATGAAACCGGTGGATGAAGAGAGACGTTACTTACCCATTTAATGTGTATAGTTTCATTGATATCGTCCAGAATTATGTAATTACCATTTAAAATACAAGAATTAAATACCAAGAAATAACTGACTTACTTATTAAAAATAGAATTCATAGTAAAAGAGATTCGATCACCGTCTACCTTGATATGCACAAGACCAGCCATTCCCACGAACACCAATTAACGATACTTTTTATGCAAAGCATGTTAGTTGTTAAGTTTTTATGTTGTGACGATATGGAGACTTATTTCTCTGCATAGACACCTCGAAAACAAACTTATTGCACTCACACTTCTCGTTATCTGTATAAAGTTATAGTTTATTTGCCAGATTATCGAGTGCTTAAGCATACTTTGTTTTAAAAGTATGAAAAATTAAAGCTGCCACAAAGTTTACATTCTAAACGTGAGAACAATTCACTGCGATCTTGCATGAAATCATTCAATATTTGACGAAAACGTAAGAAACAAATACATCAATTGAAAGAAAAGGGAAGTTGTGTCAAATAAGGAGACTAAGAAGAAGAGACGAAAAATCCTGTATTTTCCGCATTCTCAAAAGCCACAATTACTTCTAGATACTTATATTTTGTGAAAAATTTAATTTTAGAGAAAGTTGTAAAAGTATACCTTTCGGTATCTGAATAATGTTAATAATAATGAGTACTTTAATGTACTGTAGTAAATTCGTGCTGTGTGGATATGATCTTACAATACCAAAAACGTCATATCATACTGACTTTGGAAGGAACATATTATAAGAGTTCCTGTTTGGAGATGTTTTCCATCAATCCTTTGGGACTAAGTGGTATACTGTATATACCACATACAGTGAAATTCGTGAAAACTCAAATCACTAAGGGAGCGGAAGAAAACTTCGAGTTATGGAAAATTCGAGTTAGAGAAACACATTTGAAGCCTAGTCAAACGCTTGAGATTACGAAAATTATTCGACTTAGAGGATAGTTCGAGATATAGAAGTTCGAGTTTCACTGTATTTAAATTTAGTTTCTCAACTTGCTTCGTGGTATATCCCAAGGTTTATATATTAAAGGTTGTCTAAGTTCCTATGCTGCAATACTTTGATTTTAGTTTGTGGGCGAGAGGCAAGAGCAGGAGTGTTTCGTGACGTAAGCGATCACGGATTGCGCACGCAACCTCATGGCCATGTGGTGCTCCATGTCTTTGTTTAATTTGAATTGCTTGGCGGTATTATTTTCCACATGTGACGTAATGCGCAGTATGGTTGCGTACGAACCTAGACAACCTCTTATATATAAACTTTGGGTATATCCTACGTAAGTACCACCTGCTTAAAACCCTCTTAAAACTGTGCCCTCTATGATCTACTAGAAGAAATTCAGTCAACCTATTCTTCGTGCAGTAACGTAGGATACATAATTTTGAATGCCCGATTTGATTAAAAAAAGATTAAAAATAATGGCAAGTAAGTATACATACATAAAATGGTTTAGAATACGAATATACATATATTATAAACAATTGTCGCAGTCTTTGTGAAACAAATTGGGGTCTTACCCCTGAAAGACTGTACTGGCTCTATGTGACTGTGGTTAGACCTATGATCACATACGGAGCAGCAGCCTGGTATAGGAAAGTCCGACAGACTTCAGTCATCAGTAAACTTTCACGAATTCAACGAGTAGCTGGATTTGCAATCTCTGGTGCGATAGGCACAACGCCAACTCTAGCAATGGAGGTACTGCTTGGCCTATCTCCTCTGCATTTGCATATAGAGAAAGTGGCTAGAACAACCATTTACAGATTTAAGCAATATGCTCAAAACTGTTCCGACATGTCCTACCAATGGGCTGCGGAAGACATTATAAGCACTGATACTGTGCTATCAATGCCGTCAGATTTGGCGGTATCACTATCAGTGATTAACGCTCGATACCAGATTGTACTGCCTGAGCGGCAGTCCTGGATCGAAAATGAAAATTCTCTGGTTCGGGCAGACACTTGCTTGTACACAGATGGATCAAAAACGCCTGAAGGGGTAGGAGCAGGAGTATACTGCCAGACACCTCGAATTAAGCAAGCCTACAGCCTGGGTAGGTACTGTACTGTATTCCAGGCGGAAGTATTTGCTATTGACATGGGTGCTAAAATCCTTCTTGAAAGAGGGGTGAAGAAATGACAGTACGAATTTTCTCAGACAGTCAAGCCGCTCTCCAGGCGCTACAAGCCGTGAAAACGGTGTCGGCTCTGGTTAATAATTGTAAGAGAACATTAAACACACTGAGTTGTGATAACAGAGTCTCTCTGATCTGGGTCCCGGGTCACTCTGGGGTTGCTGGCAATGAAGCGGCAGATAAGCTAGCACGAGATGGCAGCGCTGAAGCGTTTGTGGGACCGGAACCAGCCGTTGGTGTATCATTTGCGATGGCCAAATATAGGATTGGACTGTGGGCTGAAGAGAGACTTCGCCTACTGAGGACCAGTTCTCCTGGAATGAGACATGCTAAGGTGTTTATTAACATCGCCACTGTCAAACCCGGGAATATTTTAGGACTTGCCCGTAGTAGCATAAAAGTTCTAATGGGTGTTTTTACTGGGCACTGCCGATTAAAAGCACACCTCAACTTGTTGGGTTTAGCCGTCGATGTTGAATGCCGACTATGTGCGGAGGAAGCAGAGACGGTTGAGCATGTTTTATGCCACTGCCCTGCCGTTAACCGTATCAGATTCTCGATTTTTGGGTCGCCGTTTATCTCCTCAAAAGATCTGAATGACCTTTCGCCGAGCAAGGTATTAATGTTCGTTAAGAGCATTGGACTGCACGGTGAAATTTGATAACGATATCTATCGGGGTACAATAGATCCTTAGGGTCGCGGTGCAAGGTTGGTTGGTCCGCCTACCCGATATGTATTCTATGTAATGTAATGTATTATAAACAATAAATCAAAAATATAATTACTTTTGATCGTTATTTATCTGTGCTATTTCAAATATAACGCAGAAACCGAAGAAAAACAATTATTACATCGGGTTATCACTGATTTGACCAGGTCTCTGGTTGGAAATCAGCATTTTGTCTATTTTGACAATTTCTTTACATCCAGTTGCAGACAGACAGGATTTACGCTACAGAACCTAACAGGAAAGGAAGAAAAAGAATACCGAGGAACTTCAAAGCTGATAAAAATTTGAAGCGGCATCTCCTATGTCATATGGATGGACAAGAGAATAGTTTTGTTGCGAAAATCCGTCCGAAACAAATTATGTTATCAGGAAAAAGAAAAATGGCGTGACGGAAAATGTTCCTTGTCCAATGGTTTTGAAACACTGTAACCAAAACATGGGTTTCGTCGATAAAGCAGATATGCTGAAAAAAACTATGAAATAGATAGGAAGAGCAGAAAATGGTGGCGACGCATATTCTGTGTATTGTTACACGTCAGTGGCATGAATTTGAAGGTGTTTCGTCTAGCAGTAGTTGCAGGATTGGTAGGAGCTGGAAGGGAAGAAACAAAGAAAGGAAAACCTAGTTTGGGACAGAATAACCCTACTAGTAGTAGTAATTATAAACCAATTCAGAAAAGATGGGATCAAGCTCTACATATGCTACTATGTAGTACCCGAGATCAAAGTTGTGAGGAGGACAAAATGGGCTTGTAAAACTTATGGCGTCGCATTATGCCTATCCGACCAAAAAAGATTGCTTTTTTAGTAACTTTTAGTTCTCCCATAGTTATTAGTTGAAATTCGTTATTGGCTTTGCTTGAGGATCGTTTCAAAATGTCAAAACTTAGGATTTTTTATAAAGGAGGTGTTCCTCTACTACAACTATTCTTTTCAAACTTCATACAACTTATAATTAATTTAGTTCCAACTCTTATGTGACAGACGTGAAATGAAAATTATTTCGCTGAAGATAACTTTAAACCGAAACTAGTTCCACAAGATTATTTTAATAAATCATTAATAAACAATTAATGAATAAAAGAGATTGAAAGAAATGATATTAAAAAAATAGTGTTTGTCATGCTACAAAATGGAATAATACTGTTTTAAAAATAGTTTACCGGCGATTTATGGCGGTTGTCTTGGATAACGTTCCCAATTTTCAAATTAAGATCGAAACTCTGTCCCGGTTTTAACTGGTTGGAATTGTCGCATCCGGGATGTTCAATTTGAACCTCACATAATTCTCCACAGCCTCAAAAAAGACTACAATTATATTATTTTTTTTACATTCGATTTCACTTTAATTATTAATTTCATTTTTTTTCCAGGATTCGTTTCGTGCTCGCCAAGCCCCTGTAAAAATGGAGGCACGTGCGTTTCATCTGTTCGAGGGGAATTTTCTTGCAAGTAAGTAAAACTTTTTTCTGTCCCTTTTTTCTTTCGCTTCCTTAAATCCTAAACGTGTTTAGATTCTCAATAAGAAAAAGGGTCACTTTTCGAAACGTTTTCTACCTGACACGAGAAACGTTCGAAAGGTTTTTTGAGAGCCCTAAGGTTTTTCAAGTTTTACTTTTAAAATATCCTTCGACAGGTAGAAAAATGCAAATTTTTCAATGTAAATAGAGAAACAAAAATTGCAGCTGCACGTTTTATGTGGACTCTTAATTTGTGAAATTAGAACATTTAATACCGTAAACATAGGTTGAGTTGTTGGGTTGGGTGAGCGTAAAATTTCTTTTTTTCTCGTAACTCACCGGCAATAAACAAAAAGAAAAGGGGCGTTGGTGTGCATCCAAGTAAGGTACAAACGCGTTGGAGTTGTTCAGTTGGTAAATAGATGCTAAAAACGGGAGTTAACAATCCATTAAATTGCCGAAAATATTTTTTAAATATCTTAAGGGTATACAAATGTTAATCTTGAATGATCCAAATGTCGCGATAGTGCGTGGCCCCCCGTTATTAACTTAAAAGCATCGAAGAGGAAGAAGAAGTCGTCTGGCTACACCCAATAATTACCTCCTCCTCCATCTTCACAACCTTCTTTAAAATCTATCTTCTCCACTTTTATTACTTAATTCTTTATTTTTGTTTTATTTAAGTAATTTTGTTAACTAAGTATAAAAGAGGATGATGTTTTCTTATCGGAGATAGATGAAGCAAGGATTGGGAAGGTTTCGAGAATCTTTTAAAGTAACCGGAGTGTGTCGAGCAAAAACGACCCATTTATCAGTCGGATGAAGCACGATCAATCTACACCGGGCGCGAGACGTGCAAAAATTTTGGTTCGGGGGGCCCGAGGAGAGTAAGAATTTTAACGACGGCCCGTTTGTCGATGACCAACTTGGCAAAAAAGTCTATCGAACTTTTTAAACTTTACTACCAACCCAGAAAAATTCCGATACTCAAAGAAATCAAAAAGGAATTGCAAAAAAAAGTTTTAAAGAATTCTAAAAGAACTAAACGATTCTAAATGATTAAATAGAGATCTAATAATAAAATAAATGAGTTAAAAAAACAATAAAGGGGGTGTTTCAAAACTAGTCCAGATGTTTTATCACAACTACGTTCTTTCTATTTTTCATCTATTATTCCTTTTACTCTCGACGAAATTTATTACGTTGTATTGTGTTTGTTGCACATGTTACCACATGTTACTCTTTTACTTGTTTGCAAATGCTAAAAAAAATAAATTGGGGTGGTATTGTCATCTAAATTGGGGTTCACATCCCTTTAAAAAAGGGAGACATAAAAAAAGCTTTCATTAATCCAATTTAATCTCACAACTCGCTTGAAATTAATACTCTCAAAAAAGTACTTCAAGTACCTATTAAAATCCATTTTAATGGTCACTTTGGTAGTTATGTTTTTACTTCTTCGATTAACTTAATCTGTTTTTAAGAATACTAACTTACTTGTTATTTAAGATTATATTCTTATGGTTTTTCTTTCGATACCGATACCCGATTTACATAAGTATTTCATTTGCGACGCCGTATTAGGCGGTGGTTAATTAGTGACGGTTATATCTTTCGGATCGAGGCGAAAAGAAAAGAAGAAGAAAGAGAGAAAGAAGATACCCGTTTACAAACTAGGTTTCCAACTACGTTTACAACATGATTTTTAAAATTTATTTCCCACGACAGGATAATTGTTAATACTAAATTAGATTTAAAAATAGTTAAAATGTTTTGTCTGTGACTATTTTATGTCACAAATTCATTCTCGCAACATCTATAAGATGACGCAAGTTCAACACTACTCATCATTTAATTAACTAACAGTTCGAAATCAGACAAGACGAATAGGAATTTATTCTACATCTCTTTTGATCATCTTCTTTTGATCTTTCCTAATTTGATATTCAAGCAGTCAAGGCAACGAAATGCAGGTTTATCACTTTAACCCTTTGTGTCCCGACGCACAGTGGTCCGAAAACACTCAAAACCCGATCGAAAATCAATTGAAAAAAAAATTTTATAATTTAAATGTTACATATATTTTAACTATTAATAGACTCTTAGTGAAGCTTATGAAGTCTTTGGTGTTTTATAATAGCTACTGCGCGAAATAAATTGCTATTACAATTACCTTATTTTGTATAAGGAAATTTTTTAGAAAACGACACAACTTTAGAAAACAAAAAAGATGGTATATCACTACTTGAAAATATTGTGTCGTTGGTTTCTTATAAAGTACAGAAAGGTCTTCATTTTACGTCTTTCCAAATTTCAAAAGATGTTTGTTGAAAAAAATTACAACCATTTCTATTGACATCAATAAATACATATATTTTTTGACCATTCAATCTTTTAAATTAAATATCTTGCGAGCGAACAAAATCGAACAATTGTAGCTAACATTTTTTTATTGCTGAAGGTATGGTGTACATAGCATAAGAAAGAAATCTTGCGCCAACGTGCGCCTTAACCAAAAAATTGGCAGTCAAAGATTACTTAACACATAATTGTGGATCTTATTTATTAAGAAGCAAAAAACAAACAAGTACGCAGATTTAGAGAGTGTCACACAAGAAAATGTGGTAGACTTCAAACAAATGAAGATTTATTTAAAAGACTATTTCTGAGCTCCGATCCATTTATTAGTAACTTTTATAAAAAATGTTCAAAAAGATATAAAAATATGAATGAAGACATGAAAAATTTACTTATACTGGACAAATCTCTAGAAGAAAAGGAAGGTAAAGAAGAAGATGATGATGATGATGAAGAAAGTGAAGAAGAAGATAATAATGATGAAGAAGTAAATATAGAGGAACAAGATTTAGAAAATGAAGAAGACTCACACAAATTGAGATAAATTTTGTTATGTTGGTGAATATAACAAAATATTTTATATTATCTCGAATAATTTGAAATGTATGTGGACTATCTCAGTATCATGGGAAAATTCTACTATAAGTAGGCTTCAAACTTACGTATTATGGTCTCCAATATCACTTCAAATTAAGAGCGATGAGTTTATTCTCGAATAGTTCTTAAAACATTTTTAGTAAAAGCTAAGTAAAATTGAGCTATCTAACCAACTAATTCTGCCAATTAATTTTGCCACATTTTTATCAAATTCCATTTCTGATAGGGTAAAAAAATATGGGGCGTTCCATTTAAAATTTTCGACTTTCTTACCATTGAATATGGAGAAACGATAATTCAATTTTTGACCACCCTGTATAAGATACTTTAATACAACAAATGACAATCTGTTTGACAACATCTCAAGAGTAATCGTGCCAATTTAGAGCTTTTTTGAATGAACGTTGGCTGAGATATAAGGTTTTAAAGAGCATAAAGTAATTTGCCAAAGAAAAACTTAAAAACAAAATAACTCGAAAACGAAAAATGGTAGGTACCAATAACTTTTATCAAAGTCAACTTATTTTGTCGAATATAATTAAAAGGTGCATTAAAAACTATAGCATTCCATTTAAAATAACGAAGTTGTGGTCTACATCCGGTAGACCGGAAGTGGCGGCCATCTTGAAAGTATTTTAGATCGAAAGCTTCGAATGAACAATCCATGTTGTCAAAATTTCAAACCGCTACGAATAGTGGTACCTAAAAAAGTTCTAACGAACCAGTTGCGTGAGACATCCGGTATAGGTCCTCTATAAAACAATTTAGATAGGAATTTGCGATCACGTAATTACACAAAAAAATGTGAAGTAATATACGTCTAATGTTTTGCACAAAATTTTATAATAATATTCTTCTTTAAAGTCCTAATTTATATGAAAAGAAAATGAGTATGAATTTAAATAAAGTACTGCTTGCGTAGTACTACTTCCGGTTGACGAATTTAATTCAAATTTTGACACAACATTACCCTTTTGGTCTTATAATCATATGCCAAGTTTCATAAAGCTAGCTAATTGCTAACACCAAAATAATATTTTCGATCGGGTTTTCTTACCGCTCGGACCACTGTGCGACGGTATTTTAAAGTACCCGTAGTTTTAAACACTGATTTTAAACTGTAGTCATCTATTCGGCGCATTTAGACTTGTCGGTACTTTCTACTATACAAGAAAGAACCTGTATAAAGAATGACGCAATCCGCACTGTAGGGTTTTTAGGTATATTTAAACTTATTCATCGTTTTGGTACTTGAACAAAGCTTTGACTGATGAAGAACTTTTGGTTAAGGCTGAAAAAGTTTGTGTTGAATTAGAAAATCTCCCGTTGGATAATTCTGAACAAACAGACATAGAAAATGAAGAAGATGACATTGTTATTATTAGTGTTAGTGAGGTAGCTATGTTGGAAGATGAAGAAGTAGAACAACTAACTAATCAAAATGAGGAAAGTGACACTGAAGTAGTAGAAATACGTGGCAAAGGACCCAAGAAGAAGAACAAGGTAGAAATTGCTAGAAAATGATTGAAAAACAGACTAAAATTCCAGGATACGATTATACAGTGGGAATAATTGGTGATACTTTTGCAACTTACAATAATCCTACCGATTATTTTCTAACACTGATGGGTAACTATGTAAAAGATATTGCCTTTCAAAGTAATTTGAACGCCACTCAAAGGAATAGAACGTTAAACTTGAAAGAAGAAGAGTTGCTGCGTTTCCTTGGCATAAATTTCTTAATGAGTTATCACAGTTTTCCAAGCTATAAACTCTTCTGGAGTAACGCTGAAGACTTGGGTGTACTACTTGTCATACGAACAATGACCCGTAATAGGTATCAGGAGATTTTATCATGTCTGGATGTCAACGATAAAATTGAGAAAACCTTAGCTAGTGGAACAATAAGATCTCACAAAAAAGGTGCGCTAAAAAATTTGGTAGATGATAAACGAATGAAGAGAGGAGATAATGATTATCGGAGCTCAAATTTAGACATAAGTTATTACAAATGGAAGGAGAAGTGCGTGAAATTTT